CTGTTGTTGTTGTTGCTGCTGCTGCTGTTGCTGCTGCTGTTGCTGCTGCTGTTGCTGCTGCTGTTGCTGCTGCTGCTGTTGTTGCTGTTGTTGTTGCTGCTGTTGTTGCTGCTGCTGTTGTTGATGTTGATGTTGTTGATGTTGACGCTGATGATGATGTTGTTGTTGTTGTTGTTGTTGTCGTTGGATGTTGTTGATGTTAATTATGTCATTCAAAATTGGCTTCTTATTTCTATTACGAACAGTATAGACTGCTAGCAGGTGTATATGTTACGATTGCAACAGAAACACCGGTGCTCCCCAGCATTAGGACATGTTGTACTACATTAGTGGTTTCCTCTCAGTATTCTTCAAAACTGATAGTCATCTGGTATCAGTACTATCACAAAAGTTACCAGCACAATATCACCATCCTGACAACCTCAACCTGCCTCATCAAGCATCATTTATTTTATGTTGTTAGTGTTGAGTAGAGTGTTCCATATTAAACCTTCCTCACTGACCTCGCATATTGTAACAATCCTCCCTGGTGGTATCCGCATACCCCTCAGTTTTTTTGCAACTCTGGTCTTTACTATAGAGATGACGAGGAAGATACGGACGGAAAATATGAATGGTGTGCTCCTCCAGTTGAACAACTTGTGCAGGAATCTGGGAAATTGGTTTTTCTGGTTCAATTATTACAACAGCTGAAGAGTGAAGGTCATCGCACATTGGTGTTTAGTCAGTCAAGAAAGATGGTCGATATTATTCAGAAAGTTTTGAAGGATAAGGTTTGTTCTGTCTATGTGAATACTGGATAGTTCTATCAGCTCTAAACTGTTCTTCCTAGAGGTCCAGTAAGGATCATCTCTTATTTATCCAGTGTTACTACAGGAGGAAACATCAACTAAACTAACTTTATTTATACTGGATAGTTCTATCAGTTCTAAACTGTTCTTCCTAGAGGTCAAGTAAGGATCATATCTTATTGATCCATTGTTACTACAGGAGGAAACGTAAACTAAACTAACTTTATTTATACTGGATAGCTCTATCAGTTCTAAACTGTTCTTCCTGGAGGTCCAGTAAGGATTATCTCTTATTGATCCAGTGTTACTACAGGAGGAAACCTAAACTAAACTAACTTTATTTATACTGGATAGCTCTATCAGTTCTAAACTGTTCTTCCTAGAGGTCCAGTAAGGATCATCTCTTATTGATCCAGTGTTACTACAGGAGGAAACCTAAACTAAACTAACTTTATTTATACTGGATAGCTCTATCAGTTCTAAACTGTTCTTCCTAGAGGTCCAGTAAGGATCATCTCTTATTGATCCAGTGTTACTACAGGAGGAAACCAAAACTAAACTAACTCTATTTGTACCGGAGAACACTATCAGTCCTAAACTGTTCTCCTTCGAGGTCCGTAAGAGTCATCTCTTACTGATCCAGTGTTACTATAGGAGGAAACTAAAGTAACTATATTTCAAATTATGCATGCCATTTAATGGATTATCTCAAATTATGCCATTTTCTAGCGAGCCACCTGTGGTCCGGTTATGAACGAAAACCACTCACGTTTTTCTCGGTGCTTCTCTAATTTGCGCGACCTTGCAAGCATACAGCTGCCATGCATCAATTAGAATTTCTGTATAGTAACTTCCAGAAGCTCTCTAGGACCTTCATATAAGTTTTCATTATCCCTTTCAGAAAGACAACAACGAAGACGGTAAAAGCAATCAATTTCGACACCTTTCTGCCGCAATCAATTTAAAATATTGGATGGAAATTTGAATGAAGTCAAACGTGATCCAACATCAATCTAGTTTAGACTGAACAATGTAATATGTAATATATGTTACATTGCTTTGATCGGGCTCAGCGCAAGAAAAGATAATTCATTTTTGAGAAGACGTCATAAATTGACAGAGATATATATTATATTAAGTGCATGTACAGTATAAATTTTAGCAATTGCGAACAACATATGTCGGAGGTGTCTTCCACCAGCTCGCAGTGCATTAATATATTAAGTTACAGTTCAACTCCCACTCAATTTGATGAAACTGAAGTGAATTAGCTTTTCTCACGCCGCCATTTTTGGGTGGCTTTTCAGCGGAAATCTGCGAGATAAGTCCAATTTGGACCAATGATGGTAAACTTGCTTTGTAAATGGTTAGTTTATCTTGAAAAATTACTTTTCACATTGTTTTAATTGTCTGCATTGGTTAACGAAAACTAGATGCCAAAAAGGCCAATTCATTTTTTTCTTCCTAGAGGTCCAGTAAGGATCATCTCTTATTGATCCAGTGTTACTACAGGAGGAAACCTAAACTAAACTAATTTTATTTGTACTGGATATATAACTCTATCAGTTCTAAACTGTTCTTCCTAGAGGTCCAGTAAGAATAATCTCTTATTGATCCAGTGTTATTGCAGCTAGGAGGAAACCTAAACTAAACTAACTTTATTTATACTGGATAGCTCTATCAGTTCTAAACTATTCTTCCTAGAGATCCTGTAAGAGTCATCTTTTATTCATGATCCAGTGTTACTACAGGAGGAAACCTAAACTACAATCTACACTAACTTAATTTATACAGGATAATTAATTCTATCAGTTCTAAACTGGTCCGAGGTTTTCACTCTGTAGATATTTTCATTCTTATTTACTTGTGTCATGCCTCCTTCTTGTGCAAATGCTAATACACGCATCAAGAATTGATTATTCATTTTCTACATGCGTTTGCGAAATTGGTTTTCACCACCAGAAAACCGCAAATATTCTACAAGCAAGGCGATAAATCTGCCAGCAGCTTGTCATCAGTAATATCCATTGACGAAAACGGTTCCCCTCCGAAATTCACATCTACTTTACTTTACCGCCTCGGTAATAAATATAACCTTTATCTAAAGTGTCAATAATTCTTACGAGAAGAATACGATTGCTTCCTATTTAGATTTACTTTAAATTAAACATAAACATCAGCAGATATAACACCGTTAATTCAATTTAGGATGTATAGTTCACTATAGAATTATACTGAGCAATGTTTTGCCCATAAAATCTTTTCAAAATACTATTTCAATACAGTATTATAACACGAGACTGGATAAATTTAGAAGCGTACAAATTCGACTGAGGTCGGTTATTCGAAAGTGGAAAAAGCTTAACCCAAGGTTAACCTAAAATTCAAAGCAAAGTTCGCAAGAGCTTGTTTATAAATTTGAAAATATTTCTTCAGAAATCTTGTCTGGACAAGTAGGAGTTTTCATCTCTGAAGTTTTGAAATAAACAGACGTGCAGAAATACATAAACTAAAACAGCAGGATAAATTTAACCCAGGGTTAGCGCGCTAATCCAGCTTCGTCCCTTGGTTCAATATTAATCCGGATCCATGCGTCATGTATAGCGCAAAGAACACGAAGTGTGAAATCCAGTTCACGGGTTCATCCAGTTCGCGATAAAGGGAGCCTAAAATTCTTAGGTTAGGACATTTAATCTATTCTTGATTTCTATTCACGGCGTGAATCGTAGGCCGATTTACACCGCAAAAACTTTTGCCCAAAACTGTCGCATACAACCTGCTTACAACTTGAGTTGTACTGTGTAAATCAAGCATTTAGTTAAGTTGTCGTTGGTGAGTTGTATGCTTGATTTACACAGTACAACTCAAGTTGTAAGTAGGTTGCATGCGACAGTTTTAGGCAAAAGTTGTGTCGGCCTCAAGGCGCTGGCGAAGAAAAACGTTTTAAAATTGCGAAAAATCATATAGCGTCGATGTAAAAATAATTAAAATAGACGCAAGATATTCTTATTTTATATTATGTATATTAGTTAATAAAACCCCCCTTTTCTACTTATTTTATGCACGGAGTACATTTTACAGATTCTGCACTGTACGTAGTTTAGGAATACAAAAATTAATCGCACCATTTTAGTGTCTAACATATCGCAAAAAAATTGGTTGACTTACCAATGAGAAGCAGAATTTTTGGACTGACGAACCAGCCCATTGTTTAGCGGTCGTTCACTCAACTTCAAACTTTTTTTCAAATATATTTTTCAGAGTGAAACACGAGACATCAACCATCGACAACGGCTGCGTTCAAATGCCAGGGGTTTGCGATATTACACCACCGTTAATAATTAATAAGGCTGGACGAATATGATTGGCTAATGTATTGCTGTTGTTACATTGCGCGCAGGTATATAACAAAATATAGAACACACTCTATAGGTATATATTACCACATCAAAGTAAATATTATAAAATTACTTGGTTCGCCAAACCATCTGGTTATTCTTCCAAGGAGACAAGTTTTTGCAATTGTAAATTTTCTTTAAAATATTTGTGTAACTATATGTTACTAAGGTAACTCGCTACTTTTAGAGACACAGCATGCAAGTTTTATTTGCATAATATGTACTGCATGCTAAAGACGTTTTTATTATAATTATTTGCATTACTTATAGAGAGAGAGCCAAATTTTAAGCAATGTGTCCAAATTGTGAACTCGTAACTCTATGCCAGATTTAATATTGAAAAAAAATCGCAATGAAAAAAATATTCAAAGTCGAGAGTGAAATATTTCATAATTTCGCATGAAATATTCACTAGAGAACTTTTTCTCTTTATCATGTTTCCTTTCGATTGTTGCCAATCGCCGTGAAAAATTAAAATGCTAAGTCAATTTTATAATTTTAGTCCGCGAAGAAACTAATATACATTTCGACAAGACACCTGCTGGCCTAAAACTCATTTAAAATTCGCCTACATGTGCTTTAGTCTATTTCTGTCAAGGCAAAACGCAGGAACACTAAAAGGACCCATTGTTTAAATAGTTCTCTTCATAAGTTCTTTGTATGTTTGCATGGCGATAAAACATATAATAGTTTTGTTTGTGGAAACACCACGTAAATTTATTACTGCAAAGCTTTCGATCCGTATAAGCCCAGATCTTCATCAGTGCTAATATAATATGTCGAAAGCTTTGCAGTAATACATTTACGTGGTGTTTCCACAAACAAAACTATTATAATTCTCTTCATGTTTAAATAAAGGATGTGTATTTTACAGTAACGTTTCTACAAAGCAACCATATAAATATTATATATAACTTGTTTTGTTTCCATGGGGACAAGTGACCTACGGTGGGATTATATCATTAATAATTTCTACATTTTAAAATATAATTATGCTTAACTACGGTAAAAAGCCTTTCTTAATATGCGCACGTTCATTTTGCAATTTTTGCACGGTTATAAATATTGTATATCCTTAACATCGCAGCTGTCTGTATCGTCTGTGGCTCACACTATAGCCGTTCGAGTTATGAATATTACGGCAAAAGAGTATTTTATTAAGCAATTTCGCGCATTTAAAGGCCGCGGTACATTTTTATGGCCATTCAAACAATGGTATACTTTTGTACTGCGCATTTTAACAGCGTAAAAAAATGCTTAACCGCGGAGCAGGTTGTGAAACTCTTAACAAAAGACGGTTAACTACTTTTTAATTAAACGTTAAGTACTTTAACTATAGAAAACTTCTAACTCATTATTGTAGCGAGCTTAAGCAAATGACGTTTTTGTCAACACGATTAATGTCAGATTGCCGAGAAGGACTGGATTAAAAACTGCGTTAATGTCATTTACTATGACAAAACATAACGATTTTTAAAGTAGTTATATACTTTCGGGTTGACATTCATCTTGACAAAAACAGGGTTCGTAGTCTTCAAGACCAAACAATTTCAAAGACTTCAAAAGATTTTTTCTGCCTATTGTCAAAGACTTTTCAAAGACCTTTGAGAGCAATCAGGTGTCGAAAAATTGCGATGTATAAGCACCATTTTTACCATGCAGGTAATTTATGGTCCCGTCAAATCACATCATAAAATGCACTTTTTCGTCGATATTTGCGAAAATCTTGCTTCAATCAATCTATTTTATTAGCCAGGAAATCGTATAATCAAATAATCACTAAAGAATTTAAAGACTCTTAAAGACTTTCTTCGCTTTTTCACACACTTCAAAGACTTTTCAAAGATTTTAGAGACCTGCATTCAAATTTAAAGACTTTCAAGGATTTCAAAGACCGCTACGAACCCTGAAAAACGTCCCTCGCTCGGTAATGACTTTACCGCTATTTATTTCATCGTTTTAAACCTCAAATTTAAAGCCCGCAGTTTTCCACTAGCGAATTCTTTCGCGCGAAGCGACCTTTTTCCTATGTCGGCATCCATTTTGCCACGTCTTGCTGACGTAATAAGTAATATCGACAAAGGAAAAAGGTCTTTTCGCGCGAAAAAATTCGCTAGTGGAAAATCGGCTTAAGGCCATGTTGTCAATGCAATTTTGGCTACAACTTGCGCCGTAATTTCGGACATTCAGCCATCTGGCCATTCTCTGAGCAAAACGGGCTTTGCTAATCTGTTGAAGTGAAAAGAGCATCCTAAAATGAGTAAAATTGCAAAGTTTGGTTGCGAAATGTTGTAAAATATGGAAAATATAGCCCTGTGAAATTAGCAAATTTTGAGTATTTTAATATTACGCGCGGTAAAAATAACCATTTTTAAGCCGAAAGTGGTTATTTTTATACCGCGCGTAAGGCCACATAAAAAAAATAGTTGGTTAGCGTCCTTAGCTTTTGCCAAAAAGTGAGCGGGCGGGCGCTTTTTTTTTAATTTTTACTAATTTTTAACACCTTGGCTTTAGGTCCGAAACTGGATTTTCTTGCGCAGTACAGATATTTTTTTATATATTTCAAAATATGATTCATACCGTCATTTTCGCACGCAATTTCGCAATTTATTAACACAATTGACTACAGTCAACAGAAATACTACGTATATTAGAGCCCGTTGATCAATACAAGTCGGTGTTTTTATTAAATAAAAAATAAAAAAAAATCCTGAGCGGGGCCTCTTTTGTGGGCGGGAGAAGACGCTAACCAACTATTTTTTTTATATGGCCTAATACTAAAATACTCAAAATTTGCTAATTTCACAGGGCTATATTTTCCGTATTTTACAACATTTCGCAACCAAACTTTGCAATTTTACTAATTTTAGGATGCTCTTTTGAGCTATAATGATATATTTTGTCTTTTTTGTCTTGATCAAAAATTAGTCGATAGCTGAAATTGTTGAATTGAAAATAACTTCGTAATATTGCTGAGGTATATTGATCAAATGTATTGCTATTATTATATTGATTTATATTAAATTTCTTGTGCAAAAGTGAAATAATTACAACGCATTGTACTTGCACAAATTTTCTCTTTTGAGTTCTATAAATAGTAAGTGTCAACTTCAATGAACAATGAATTATATTTATTACTGTTTTTTATGAGTATATCTCTGCTGTGCCAGAAAATGTATTGCAAATTTGAAGCAAACATATCCTACACGCGTAAAAACGCACAAGTTGTTACAAGTCTGCAAACAAGTTGTTCCAAATCTGTTCACAAGCTGTCGACAAGTTGTGTTCGCACTGCTTGTTCCCAGTTGTTGTAACAAGTTTGGAACAAGCTGTTAACAAATTGTAACAACCTTGATAGCGTTATCAGACTTGTTACAAGGTTGTTCTAACAAGTCTGATACAGTCATGATATAACAAGAATGTTACAAGGTTGACCACACAAGGTTGTAACAATATTGTTATATCATGACTGTAGCAGACTTGTCTGATAATGTTAACAAGATTTTGTTATAACTGTTAACAGCTTGTCACAACTTGTTGACAACTTGGGACAAGCAGTGCGAACACAACTTGTTGACAGCTTGTTGGCAGGCCTGCTACTAGACTTGCTCCAAGTCTCTCTTTCATTGTCATATAGTATCAATCCACTATAGTGTACATTACATGACGTAGTACGGAGGGGTGGAGCGAGACTTGTCAACTTCGGAAAATCTCGGTTCAAAACTGAACCGAAAATGCAAGACTTGCTTTAATGACTTTAATTGTTTTCCTTCAATTTCTGTATTATTTACTATAATGGACCTCATGTTATTTACACTGTGCTAGATCAATACATATAAACAATGACAGAAAACAATTAAAGCAAGTCTTGCATTTTCGGTTCAGTTTTGAACCGAGATTTTCCGAAGTTGACAAGTCTCTCTTTCTCGCTCCGCCTCTCCGTGCTACGTCATGTAATGTACACTATAGTGGATCGATACTATATGACAATGAAAGAGAGACTTGGAGCAAGTTTAGCCTGCCACAAGATGTGAAATTTATGCGTGTGTTATGTACCATGATAGGCTCTTAGCTGCCAAGGAACCACACATACAGTAACAGTTGACTGAAAATAAAAGCAAACTAGAAGATTGGAATAGTTGTTCGCACATTCTCAACAACAAACAGCTCTTTGAAATGAACCAATTTGACAATCTGTAATCTCCAACTGGAAATCCAATTGAAATTTGTCCACCTTCTAAAATGAATTCCAGCTACCGAAATTCCACATGGATTTCAGGACTTCTTTAAAATGTGCATTGTTTCTGGACAATGTCATGTATTTACATATTTAAACATAAAGTTTTTCATCAGTAATTTACTTGCGCAGTACACTAGCCCATGTATCCCCTGCCATCCATTCATATACATCACCTATCTTCCTGTACATCTTCAACATAATTTCTGTATTCCAACATTTCATTTGGAAATGCCTTGTTTAGTTCTCCCATCAATTCTGTCTTAAAGTTCTAATAAATTAAAAAGGGAGAACAGTTAGAGCTATCCAGTATAAATAAAGTTAGTTTAGTTTAGGTTCTTCCTGTAGTAACACTGGATCAATAAGAGATGATTCTTACTGGACCTCTAGGAAGAACAGTTTAGAACTGATAGAACTATCCAGTATAAATAAAATTAGTTTAGTTTAGGTTTCCTTCTGTAGTAACACTGGATCAATAAGAGATTATGCTTACTGGACCTCTAGGAAGAACAGTTTAGAACTGATAGAACTATCCAGTATAAATAAAGTTAGTTTAGACTTTAGCTAGCATTTATTTCTACCTGATAAGCATCAATTTTCCCTTTAACTTCCTTATTCTGTGCCAAAGCTTTTTCTAAACAGTCCTTTGTGTACAATTGGGGATTCTTCCCTTCATCAATATACCTAGATGGGAAACAGGAACAATTACATTGTGCACGGCAGTACAAGGGGAAATTCAGATACATTTTTGAAAGTTTAAGGATTTCTCAACTTACGAGAAAACGTCCATTGGAACTTCAACATTATGAAAATTATCTTTACATTTTTCAATTTCTTTCAGACTTTCCACAATGGCATTGCTGTTAAAAAAAGCATCGCCAAATTACTTGAAAATTCATTGCTGCATAGGATGAAATTTATTCACAAACAAATAGATAAGATTAACCGTTGCCTGTCCAGTTAGGACCATGTCCATATTTATGTTGCCACAAATAACGTCGAATCGACATTATCTGGAGAGGGTGGGTGGCTGAAGTAATAACGTCGATTCAACGTTATTTGTGGCAATATCAACATGAATGTGGACGTGGCCATAGAGATTATAAATAACACTAGAGGAGGAATTGAGTTTAAAAATTGGGAACGCAGCTAATGGGGGGAAAATTCAAGTCCCGGATATAAAATCGTGCTCTCATTGGCTGATTTGAAAGTGGTCACCAATGGGAACACGAATACACATCCGGGACATGAATTTGCCCTTTTTTTATTGAATTAAGATTACAATGCCTCCTCTAGTGTTATTTATAATCTCCCTAAATCTCTATGGACGCGGCCCCTTGCCCCCTTATAGACACACAGTATGACAATATGTCAACCCACTCGCCTCGGCGGCTCGTGCTCCACTTTTTTGTTCTTCCTCTGAACAGACAACGGCGAAATCTATTGTTTATATAAACTAGACAAGTAGACAACACTATACACAAAATATGTTCTCCTATTTCTTACATTTTCTGGTTAAGCACACCCTGACTGCCGGGCTGAAAATCACTCACAATAATCCCAATTTGTCTTGTGGATTCAATAAACTGTTCAATGGATTGTTCAAGGGCTTCAAAACGATTTAATCCAGCCTTCCCTTCCTCTTCGGCCGCGGCCATATTGCTTTTCTCTCCAACTATGTTTCCACTTCCAGATAATATTTTTGAATTGTTTTGCTTTGTGGAAAAACACCAAACGGTTTTTAAAATATCTATTTATTTCGTTTACATTCGTGATTACACCCCGTTTATATATTCCGTTTATTAATTTCACGTTTATTTGTTCGTTTATCTACCTTGCGAAATAAATAAAGTGGTATTTTCTGCAAAACAAATCAAATATTTTTCGCCATGCAAAAATTCCTAAAATTTCCTTCCCACTTCGTATACGTGACATGCGCAGAATGTTCTTCAAAAAACTGGTGTTCTTTTTTCGAAATTTATTTTTTTGGAAAACTTTTATTTTTTCTGTTTGTTTTTTTAGTTTTACGTGTGAATTCACCAGGAAAATGTCTTTAAACTCCACGTACGAACGTAAGTGTAGTATATTAAACACATGACTATAGTTTTTGTGCAAAGGTTGACTGTTTTTCATAAGTTTTTTTTTTCTTTTCTAGTCAACTGTAAAATTCCAGTTTTTTAACAATAGGTTTCTTTTTATTTTATAGATGCTGTTTCATGGTAAGAAAAAATGTTAATGCAGGTTTAATTTTCAAGAATTTAAATATAAAATATTGAATTCGCCTCAATATGGACAATTCAGTTGTGAATACGAGGCCATAGCCCGAGTGTTTTTGTCCATTTAATGACGCTCTGAATTGAGTTCACAGTATTAATACCTGACAGATGATGAAACAGTAATTTGGAACTGACATCTTACAAAATATCTTAACTGATAGCTGACAAATGATGAAACAGTAATTTGGAACTGACATCTTACAAAATATCTTCACTGATAGCTGACAAACGATGGAACAGTAATTTGGAACTGATATCTTACAAAATATCTTAACTGATAGTTGACAAATGATGGAACAGTAATTTGGAACTGACATCTTACAAAATATCTTAACTGATAGTTGACAAATGATGAAACAGTAATTTGGAACTGACATCTTACAAAATATCTTAACTGATAGCTGACAAATGATGAAATAGTAATTTGGAACTGACATCTTACAAAATATCTTAACTGATAGTTGACAAATGATGAAACAGTAATTTGGAATTGGAACTGACATCTTACAGGATATCAATGATAGCTGACAAATGATGAAATAGTAATTTGGAACTGACATCTTATTAATAATCTATTTGCCAGGATAGAGGAAGCGGCTTGTGAGTGTCAGAAAACAGAGAATGTGGACATTGACAACCTTATTTCAAATTGTACAAATTGTATGAACAGTCTCGATGCATTACTCTCTATGGAACACAACAATATCAGATTGGTACGAAATGGATAGCTTTTTATTTTCTGACCTACGTACAGCATTGAAGTTCATTCATTCTTCTTCTCCGGCTTTGCTCAGCTCCTTCCTTCCTTCGCTCTTTCTTGTTCTCTTTAGACGTTTATTATCATCAATATTATCTTTAGACAACGATACCGTATATAGTCTATATATATAAGAGTTTTTTGTACGATGTTTGTGATGTTTCTCTGAGTGTGCATCCACACCGGGCAAGCTGAAAAGTTTGCGTGATCTTTGGGATACTAGTCCAATGCCGCTACCAACTGAGCTCCGAGGTCAAGTCGGTTCAGTTGGTGATATTTAGTCTAGTTCCTTCGATATCAGTGTATTCTAAGATGACGATTTTTTGTGTGTGTTGGTGTTATGTACTCAGGTGAATATGATGTTTGTGGTGTTACTCTTAGTGTGTATGTATATATATATATATATATATATATATATATATATATATATATATATATATATATATATATATATATATATATATATATATATATTATATAT